CCAGCAGAGAAAGAGACTGAATCCAAAGAACATTCTTTGAGGCCCTGGATCCAATCATGACAAATTCATTCCCTTGAACTTCTCAATTAAGTGAACCAACAAGTTCCCTTTTTGGGTCATCTGTTCCTTTCTGAAAGTGTCCTTGTCAGTTCAATGTGCATAAAAATAGCACTGAAAGACGACATGGGCAGAAGTGCGAAAGCAAGGCACTGCTTTATGGGGTTACGCAAGGGACAACCCTAGCTGTCCCTCTGCTGTCAGAGGGGCCAGACACTCACTGACGAAGGGAAGTTGTCTTCAAGACCCCACGAAGGGCAGAGGCGCCAGGGTGTGCTGTCTACGGGGCTACAAACAGTATTAGCGCCCAACGTGACCAACTAAAGAACTTAGTTCCATCACTTAAATACCCATGGCCCGACACGAGGGCCTCACAAAATATGTCGCCCAGATGAGGGCTGTGTCCAATATGTGCTTAACATCCGGAGGCACTTTTCTAGAACTAGATGTCCCCAGTTCACAAATACTTGACGCTCCTTCCTTTACAAAGGGGAGTGTACTTTACTGGCCCTTGAAAATGGGTCAGCCTTAGTGACACACTTTGAAGAAGTAGAATGCTCTGTGACTTCCCCCTGACTGGCCCTCTCCTTGAGATTATGGCCCTTGGTACCAAGGCACCACATTCTGAACACGTCTGAGTCACTAAGGGAGGATGGTCAGACAACAGCCCCAGCGGAGCCTCGGCCAACAACCAGAACCAACCTCCAGACCAGGAGCCAGCCAGCCTTCAAACGACTTCAGCCCCAAGCTTCGAGACCTCCACTAAATGCGCCCCCAGACACGGACGAGCAAGCATTCATTCTGCTGTGCCCCTCAGATATTGACACTGGGAACTGCGAAAGATCAGAAATGATTTTTTACTATTTTCAAGCCACTATGATTGAGAGTAGTTCATTACACAATTGTCTATCTGGTTATAACAGATAACTAGTACAAAATGCAAGAACAAAACAGCAATGATTAATAGCTCTAACGCTAACCCCAACTTAGAGTTGTCTGGAGAAAGCTGCATCAGGCAAAGCAAGAAAGAGAAGTTGGGATTAAATTAGCAATCTGACATGAGCAAAGAAACGGGAAATAACAGCACTTGTGTTTTTATTTGCCAATCCCGTGTAAGGCGACGGACTAGAGCAGCAGGTAAAAATGTTTAACTGTTAGCCCAGATGAGCGCAGGTAACCTTTCAGATGAGAGTAGCTCCAGGAGTGAGCCCAGGCAAAACCAGAAGAAAAACAACCCAGGAAACCCTTTCAAAAAGGCAAAAAGTGGGCCTCCCCGGTGGCGCAGCGGGTTGAGGGCAGCGCTGTGAGGCTGTCCGCAGCCTCTGCAGTGTGGGTTCGATTCCCGGCCAGCCAGGGAGCTACCCACATGGTGCAGCAGATCTCTCCTGCCTCACCTGCTGCTCCCCTCAGCAGTGTATTTCAGTTGTCTGCCTGTTCTGCTCCCCACTCTGTCTCTGTCTCTGTCTCTCACCCTCCAGCGCCTCTGGCCTATACCCCAGCTCTTGTATAAAAATAAATAAATCTTAAAAAAAAAAAAAACCTGAAAGGTAATGTAATGTTATTGGTTTAAACCAGTCAGAGGTGGGGTGATTTGTTCTGCAGCATGGCCTAGCCCATACAACTTGGATTTACAAAGCAGAGCGATGCTCTCAAATCAAGCAGGTGCCTGTCTCTGCTGGGCCAGAGAAATACTGAGAAGCTCACTGGGACAAAAGCGCTGCCATGAAGCCCTCTTGTATCTCTTTTCCTACATTTAGATCAAGTCCAAGTTCCATGCCCAGGGAGTGATGATTATAGATCTCATGCTGCCTTCCAAATAGACCAAAGGTTTCTTCTCAAAATAGAACTATGTACAACTGAACAGATACCAGTACGGACATCAAGGTTAGGGGAGAAAGAAACGTCCAGAGAGTTCTTTCTACATGAAAGCAAGGAGCTGTTTGCTTAGGAACATGTGTGCTGAAACCCATTAATTTTTTCCCTTGCTTTTACAGCACATTAGGCTTTTCTCCCAAGATTTATTGAGTCATGAAACATATTAACTGTGGCAGACTGAGTTTCAATTAAAGACAGACGGCAAGGGTCATTTACCTACGACTAAATGCTTCTTCGATAATGACAGGCTCACGAGCAAAAGGAACTTATGCAAGGAGAATCTGACAAATTATTACCAGGGCTGTCATTTTCACTCAGACAGAAATGGCTGTAGACCAGAAAATCATATTAGTTTAAAACATGACGTGGGACCCACTGCTAATAGCAGACAGTGCTTGCTGCATGCGGTACTTCCCTGCCGGAGCCCGCGCCCGTGAGGACGGGGGAAGCCAGCAGGTTCTTGACTTATTTCCCTTAACAGACTGACCGAGTGTTATTTTCATTTCACAAAATACCATAATGTTATTGCAGATTGGTCAAATTCTTAAAGTGAAATCACGGTCTACTTTTTAAAATGCCTTTTATCATCCTTGGGCAAGAGAAATGCAGAAACGATAAGGAAGTCCTGAGTCTCACTGGTATAAAGCAACGCAGCTCAATAAAAGCTCCACCACCAACAAAATGGGGTTCGATGGTGACGATGCTTTTCAGAAGCAAGAGGCTCGCGGGGAGAGAAGAGATGGTATCGCGGGGCTCCGCAGCAGCAGCAGGCCGCTTTGCCGTCCTCGCTCCCGTCACAGGCCGGCCTCCTCCCTTTTCCTTCCTCTCCGTGTCTCCTATTTCTTGGCCCTTTCTCTTTGTTGATTTCAATCACTGGGCCCCTTCTAATTCCTCCTTTCCTTGAACCTCTCTTCTGTCTTACCTGATACTCAGAGGATAACTGCTCCTCACGTGACCGCCCGCATGTCGCTGGTGTTAGCACAAAGAAGGAATTCTCCCTGAGAACAGGGTCCGGTTACGCTGCCATTTCCCATGCCCTTATTTTCTCACAGATACAAGTCTCTGTCTCTTTCTCCCCCGCTTTCTCCCCCTCCCTGCCTTCCCCATCTGATCTGTGATAAAAGAGTGAGAGTATATTTGGCTAATGTTCAGATGGAGCAAAAGTAGACTTGATCATAAGCAACTTTTCAATGGAAGTTACAAGTGTTTCCCCAGAGTGGGAACAGACATAACGTCTAACATACAGGAAGTGGAAATTAAATTCCAACCAACAATTACCGCGTGTCTACCACCTGCCACATCTCATGCCGGGGATCAAGATCTACCTAAGGCTCAGGCCCCGCTGCCAAGGGGAAAGCATTGCAGAAATTAAAAAGAAAAGCAAAGAAGAACAATCCACTGCTTGATGGGAAGCCCAGCAAACATCACTTGAGTGTGGCCAACAGGAAAGAAATTCTCAGGATACTGAGCTTCTGTCTCCTCATTTCAACGCGGGTATAATAATATCAGTAATAATAACATTCCCTTCGCAGGATTGCCATAGGAGGCAAAAGAGAATACAATATGTTGCAACTGTGAGACTGAATTTCAATTGCATTCACTCAGCACTTATTCTGCTCCTACCTTGGGCCAGGTCCTGTGACTGACTGGAGAGCAAAAGGAAATCTATAATCCCTGAAACTATAAAGTGTCCAGACCTTCGAGGGCAGCTGAAATGATCTAGTCTAGGGTGTGAGGAGAGGGAAAAGGAGGACCAGGGCGTCAAGGAGGCCAGAGAAACAGAGCAGGTCATAGCCACAGTAAGATCTCTCCTCAAGGCCCTCTGGGCATACGTTAGGCGCCTTGAAGACAATATTCCCAACAAATAAAGACTCCTTCGCAAAGACAATGCACCTGGCTAACTTAGAGGGTACGGCCTTGGTCTCCGTCAGGTCCTCTGGCCCGGAGAGACTAACGGTTGATTTCCCAGCTTGAAGGAGACAAGCATCGAACAAGTGAAAAGTGACGGCTCTCCTCCTGCTCGCCCCGTGTGACTCTCAGGGTGGCCCTCAGCAATCTAAGCCTGTTTGCTCATCTGCAAAATGGAGGCTTAATACCCGCTGACCTAGCAAGGTCTGTGCAGTGATCTGAAAGGTAAGGCCCAGGCTGTAAAGTCACTTGCCTACAGTGGCCTGGGAAGTAACAAATGAGCTGTGTCTGGGGACACTGCCAGTTGTGTCAGTAAGCTGCTGCTGCCCAACAAACCTCCCTGCAGCTTGGTGGCTTAAGCCAACAACAGTACCATGATCATATCACACAGATGTCCTGAGAACAGTTTCCCGGGACTCCCCCCTACCTGGTCTTGCAGGCGAGAAAGCAAAGTCATCTGCATAGACCTGAAATCCTAACAGGTCTGCCCTGTTCTGTGAAACAGCTGTGCAAAAATCTTCTGCCTGCAGGTTAAACCAGCTTTTCAGCCCCCCTGCCACTCCCCCAATTTCCAAGGAGTCAGTTAAATAAGATTAAGACAATGAGTAGCCAGCCTTTGCCTCTCCACAGTGCGCTCTTCAGGAATCATGAAGTGACCAGCCCAGCGCTGCCTTCCTCTGCGCATAGGGGCATCCACAGATCTTTAGGTCAAAATAACTTAGGACCAAATGCCACCCGCCCCACCCCACCCCCAAGAGTAATTACATTTTTGACCTCAGTGACTCACTCTTCCTACTGATAGAAACTAAACTCCAACTTGGGGCGGGGGTTGGGGGGCAGCTGGAACAGTTCTCACAGAGTGAAATCTGCCAGACTGCTTCCTGGGTTCGAATTCTCACTCGGACAATCTGATGAAGTGTCCGTGGACTCACGGAGCCTCCCTTCCCGGAGCAGTACATCACTTTCCACTGCTGCAAGGTTTTGCTGGGTGGTTTTTCTGCCATCCTGCCTGAGCTCACTCACACAGCTGCACTCACCTGAAAGGTTTGTGGGTGCGCACTCCACGGGACAGCAGGGCCGCCTCTCCTGGGTTAATGTCAAACAGTGCTGTAAAATCAGGAATGACCAGAGAGCAGGTTTTCTGATCCAGCAGACCGGGTAAAGGAGGAGTCAGAGTCCTCAGTGGTTTTTTGCAGGTCTTTTATTGGGGTTCACCAGGCATATGGCAGGCAGGGGTGCTGGGGGGCCGGGAGGCTGGCAGGCCTCCCAGCCCCCAGCAAGTGTTCACTCTATCTGGGCTCTCCAGCCTTCTCTGCTTCTGCTTCGGGCTTCTTCTCTTTCGGCTTCTTCTGCTTCTCGGCTTCTCCTGGCGTCCCCGTGACGCTGCCCTTAAAAGCACAGTCTTAGCACAGGTGTACCCACTTCAGATGCCCGCCATCAGGCATGCATTCAGGATCACAGGGTTCCCTCATCTATCCTGATGGCGGGAGGGCAGAAAAGCCTGATACCTTTTACCTTACCCTACCAGTGCCATGTGGGAACATCTGCTCCTTTCTGCCAACGCACTTCTTGAAAAATCAAGATTTGTCTGTGTGTGCGTGTGTGTGTGTGTGTGTGCATGTGTGTGTGCAGGTAAATGTGTATTGGGTAAGTTACTGGTTTTTTAAATAGTACTTTGCTTTATGGAAAGCGCCGTGTGACCTACAGAACACGTCTATGGGCTGGATTTGGGGTCTGGGCTACTAACTGCTAAGCTCCAGGTGAAGTGATGTTTCCAGCGGGTCTTTTACTTCCCTGTCCACTCTTAGGCTCTCCCAAGGGTCCAAAGCTGCTGGGGCTCCCTCAGTCCAGGTCCTCTGGGTTGGCGGTTCTCAAGGTGCGTCCGCTACCAGCCTCGGCATCACTTGAGAATGCGTTGTGCGTGCAGATGCGTGGACGCCACCCCACCACCACTGAGTCCCACCCTGGGGTGGGCCCAGCAGTCTGCTCTGACAAGCCTGCAGGTGGCGCTGGCGCGCGCGGGACCAACACTGGCCCTCCCTCTCAGGGAGAAGGCAATCCCCTGGGCATCACCAGGCAAGCCACAGGCTTCCATTTTTAATCAGACAGATCACAAGAAGCCAGGCTGTGTGACAGACCAAAAGGGCCACAGGGGAGCTCCGTGCCTTGTGATCAGGAAGACGCCACACTAGTTCTCCAAGCCTGCTGTGCCCGGAGTCACGTGGAAAGCTTGACAGGACGCTGACACCAGGTCCACCCCAGGGCATCTGACTTAAATGGCCTCAGGGGCAGCAAGGTTCTCAGGACTCCAAACGCCAGTGACTCTGCTTTATGACCGTGGGAATCCCTCAGGCCTGGAAAAACAAGGAAACCGAGAAAAGGGAGCTGGAAATGTCCCTGGGGGAAAGCCCTGGGGAAGACAGGGAGAGAGGCTTAATTGTTATCTACTCTCTTATAAGGGGAACTTCCTCCAAGTCCTCCTTCCTTGACACTCCAGCGGCTTCGCATTCCAGTCACTTCTGCAGAGCATAATGCTCAGAACAAATGCAATTCAATGCTTTTTAGGACTTCTCTTTGGAATGTGTATTTAACAGAAAGGGAAGAAGGGAAGGAGGCGGAGAGAAAGATGGGTAGAATGCAAACACATAGGAAAAGGGAGGGTCATGTGTGAACAAGCAAGAGAAACAGTTTGGAAAAGGTCAGAGGTTAATTTTGCAAGAAATTAACATTAATTAGAAATCATGAGTAAACTTACCTGAAGCAGCAGGTATGCGCTGGGAAATAGAAGTAGATAAACTCAAACAGGCAGAAAAGAGTCTGATTTTAAACAGCCTTGCAGAAGCAGGTAGGAATGTATTAGTCAGGGGTCTCCGGAGAAAGGGAACCAGCGGGAGATACATAGGTACAGATGCAGGTAGAGCGGCACAGGTATATGAGAGAGCTTATAAAAAGAGCCACTTAGGGCCTCCCCGGTGGCGCAGCGGTTGAGCGCTGGGTTGCGAAGCTGCGCGCGGCCTCTGCGGCGCCGGTTCGATCCCCGGCTGCTCCCCGGCCACCAGAGGAGGGTCCCACATGGCGCGCAGACCCCTCCTGCCGCCCGCTGCTCCCCTCAGCAGTGTACTTTGGTCCTTCTGCCTGCTCTGCTCCCCGCTCTGGCTCTGGTGAATTCTCTCGCCCTCCCGCGCTTCTGACTGTACCCAGTGCATGTATAAACAAAACAAACAAACAAACCAGCAAACAAATAAATAAAGCATGCCTCTATAAAAAAATTAAAAAAAAAAAAAAAAAAGAGCCACTTAAACGGAATTGGCTCACACAGTTTGGAGACACACTTGCCGAGATCTGCAGACTAAGCCTGCAAGTTGGAAACCCAGGAGAACTGACGTTGCAGTTCTAGAAAAACGCTGGCAGGCTCCAGAGCTGGTGTTTCAGCTTAAGTCTGATGTCAGGAAAAAGTTGATGTCCCAGTTCAAAGGCAGCCAGGCAAGAGGCATTCTTGCTTGCAGAAGGATGAGTCTTTCTGACCTACTTTTTGATCAACTGATTAGATGAGGCCCACCCACATTAAGGAGGGGAAACTGCTCTACCCAGTCTACCAATTGAAACATTAATTTCATCACATATTGCCTCACAGAAACATTCAGAATAATGTCTGGTCCAATATCTGGGTACCCCACGGCCCAGTCAAGTTGACATGCAAAATTAACCATCACAGGAACTAGTAACATAAATCTGTGGACCACAGTTTCCAAAATATGGTCCCTGAGGATCAGACCAATGAGGAATATCCCATCAAAAATAGAGTCTGAGTCTTAGAAAATACTTCATAAGGATGTGGAGAGAAAGGAACTCTCCTGCACTGCTGGTGGGAGTGCAAACTGGTCCAACCACTATGGAGAGCTGTGTGGAGATTCCTCAACCCACTAAAGATAGAGCTTCCATATGATCCAGCAATTCCACTCCTAGGTATTTACCCAAAGGACGCAGAAACATTAATTCAAAAGGGCACCTGCACCCCTATGTTTATTGCAGCACAATTTACAATAGCTAAGCTCTGGAAACAACCCAAATGCCCCAAAATAGATGACTGGATCAAGAAGATGTGGTCCATATACACAATGGAATATTACTCAGCAATCAAAAAAGATAAACCCATGCAATTTGCAGCAACATGGATGGCGCTGGAAGGGATCATGCTCAGCGAAATAAGTTAGAAAGAAAAAGAAAAATACCGGAAGGTCTCATTGCAGGAATCCAGAAAACCTAAATATGGACCAGGAAAAAGAATAACTATAAGAAAGAAAAAAATCAAAATCAACAAACAACTATGAACCAGAGACACTCTTGGGGGGTGGGAAGGAGGGATTTGGGTCAAAATCGGGGTTGCAATTGTATGGGGAATATAAAAATTAAAAAAAAAGAATGCTGACTATAGAAAAAAGTACTACACTTAAATATAAAAAAAAAAGAAAACACTTCATAATAAGGTGTATTAATCTGTTAACACTAGGAATCATCCTACAGGAATAATTTTGCCAAGTTAGCATTTCCCTGGCATTTGATCACAGAATCTGTTTTTAACTTAACACCAATTAATTTCCCATGCATTTAAATTAAATTTTCACGTAACTCACTTAAGGAAAAGCCTCTCCAAGCCTGCGAAGGTAGTACAGGCTGGGGGCCTGGGAAGGGGAAACATGGTTTTATTTTTTGAAAGATTTATTTATTTATGTATACAAGAACCAGGGTGTAGGCCAGAGGTGTGGGGTGGTGAGAGGACTCATCAGAGAGAGTGGGGAGCAGCACAGGCAGATCTACTGAGACACACTGCTGAGGGGAGCAGCAGGGAGACAGGAGAGGTCTGCTGCACCATGTGGGTAGCTCCCTGGCCAGGTATCGAACTCGTGCTCAGTTGCTGCAGATAACTTGATAGCTCTGAGAACTCTGTCTTTAACCCCTGCGTACCAGGGAGGCCCGGAAACAGGATTTTAGGAAGATAACTCTGGCAGTGGTGTGCAGGGATGAAAGAGTCTAGAAGCAGAGTGAATCTGAGGAGGCTCTCTAGCCGTCAAGGTCCCAGGTGATAGTCTTGCATGTGGGTGGGAGTGGTGGGGTGAAGAAGAGGAAGGATATGAAACATTTTGTGGAAAAGTTCCCGCACATGTAAATTCTGAATAGAAAATAGTAGTAGGGAACTTGAAAAGTTGGAGCTTAGTAAGTGAAAGAACACATTGCTGCTGCCAGAAAAATTGGAAGGAAAGACTGGCTTGTGGGGAAAAGATACAGTAGTTTCATTTTTTGTAGTTTTGCTTGGAGTCATGGGAGACAGAGGTCTGTAAGAAGCATGCAGCTCTTCTGGAATTCTGAGGCGTGCATGAGAGATCTCAAAATGATAGATTAACTTGGGAACCATCAGAACAGAGTTGGAAACTAAGCCACAAGCGTACGCTCTTCCACCGTTTCCCCATCTCCCTCAGCCAGGCCAATCCTTCCTTTTTGACGGGGGCTTTGTTCTGAGAGGCCTGCTCCCTAAATCAGCCTTAGGCCCTCTTGATGCACTGCACAAAGAAGTATTAAATCGCATTCATTCCAGAGCACAACTCTGGGCTCTGGGGTGGCAATCAAGCCCCAACAGGTAGTTGAAGGGTAAAACCCCAGCGGAAGCTCTTTAGACGTGCAGGGAGAGTTACCTTTGGAATTTCACACATTTTGGAGCACAGGTCAGCTGTGAACAGGAACATTCTGGTCTCCTGTACAGGTCAATGGCACTGGCACCGCCTACTTAGTACAGAGCCTCCGAATTAGGAAATCCTAAAGCCCCAGACACCAAGAGGTTTCAAACAGATTTCACATGCTCAAAACCCAAGAGTGCAATTTTTTGAGTGCTTATACTCACGAAAATATATTTGAACAGTCAAGCAAGTCAGCAGTGCTTACAAGATGCCTACCATGTATGTCACCCTAAAATGACCCAAGGTCTTCCCTTTGCCTTCACACTCTGGAGCCACACAGCCCCACACTGAACGCCAGGCATCACCCCTGTGGGCTGTATGATTGGGCCACTTACTTAACTAGTCAGGGCCGTGGACTTGCTCCTCTATAAAAACAGAATAAAAGTGCCTCATTCGTTTGCTGTGCCTCATGTGCGCACTCCACACTTCTGCACTCCTGCCATGTGGCTTCACTATACTAAGCTCTGGGCACAATGCCCGTGGACAGAGAAGCAGGTGCAGGAGAGGAAAAGGGCTTCCTTGGCCCTTGGAGAGTGGCTGACCAGGTGCAAAAGTTAAACTGACAAAGACAGGTTAACAGGCGAAAAGGAGACACATTTATTTAATCTAAGTTTTATGTGACAGAGGAGCTCCCCAGAAGACTGGCAGCCCCAAAGCGGCGGGCCCGAGGGTGTGTATGTCAGGCCTGATGAGGAGTGGACAGTCGTGGAGGAATGGCAGAAGTGAGTGTGAGTAAGTGCAGAGTGGACTAACAAAAGGAAAGTCTCCATTTCCTTTTTGCTCTGCAGAAAAATGCCAACCTCCACCCTGCCAGGGCCACTTCAAAAGGCTGGAGTCAGCAGAACAATGATTTTGTTCGTTGTGAAGAACTCTGGGCCAGGAAACAAAGGAATAGCCAAAGAAAGCCTGAGCGCCTGTCGCGTGTGCAAGTTTCAGAATGGGAGAAAACAGCCTGGCAGCACCCTCATGTCTGCCCGGGCAGCTTTAGGATAAGGGACTCAAAACCAACCTCCAAAGCTGAGACAGCTCTGGCTGAATTAGCTCTGTGAGATTGAGGGATGGTCTGAGGTTATGACTAGTGTTTGTCCCTCAAGGATGAAGTAACTGTTAGAGAAAGTAACCTCCCTTAGTTAATTGAAAATGTTAGGAGTTAGCGGCCTCCCTGGTGGCACAGGGGGTTGAGCACGGCGTTTGATCCCCGGCCAGCCAGGGAGCTACCCACATGGCCTCCTGCCTCGCCCGCTGCTCCCCTCAGCAGTGTATTTCGTCAGTCTGCCTGTTCTGCTCCCCACTCTGTCTCTGGTGAATCCTCTCACCCCCTGCACCTCTGGTCTACACCCCAGTTCTTGTATGCATAAATAAATAAATCTTTTTTTTAAAAAAAGATAATGCTAGGAATTAGCTGGAGGCCCTCTCTCCATGCTAAAACAATGCATTCTTTTTTAATTGCTTTCTAGATAGTTTGTAACTTCACTTATTTACCCCAAGGGTTAAAGGCCAGGCCCTCTCCCCCAAGTCCTGGCTCAGATTCCTTTTCACCAGGCTTGTTCTTACAGTCTTATTGATTATTCTCCCCACCCCAAACACCACCACCCCTTAGACTTCCCTGCCCCTTTCCCGAC